AAATCGGATCAAATCAACCCAGATCATATCTGAATTGACTCGATCCGAATTGCACTACCCGGCTTTAGTGTTCCCCCTCAATTTGGTAATAAAAATATAAACAATGATCAATTTTGCATAGTGACAATCTTTAACTTTTTCTTTACTGCATCATTTGAAGCATATTTTGAAATAGGAAAAAATCGCGAGTTAAATGAATTTGAGATTAAGATTCTCCCAGATTGACCTTCCCAATCTCCGGACCTTAATCCTATTGAACATTTGTGGCATGAACTTGAACGGAGACTTCGAAAATGATCTGTGCATCCAAAGAATTTTTATGAACTTGAAGAAGCTTTGCAAGAAGAATGGAAAAGAATCCCATCCGAAACTTATATTTGATTATAAATATTTAATATTTAGTTGGCCATTCTTGGTTTTTAATACATGCTTCAATCCGACGTGGCATACTTTCAATCAAATTAATATAATTTTTATTGATCGACCGGATACTTTTGATAGGGTAGAAAGGCTACAATCAAAGTAATTGCAATTTCTTTTTACACATATAATATATTTCTATTTTACTTTTATATATAGACGAAATAAATGAATATTGTTTTTATCTAATTTTCAAATGCGTAATTATAAACCTTTGTATGTAATTATGTAATGTTACTTAAAACAAAATACATCTTAAATGATTACTTAATATTACGTATATTAATTTGAAAACAATGAAGAAAATTTTGTTAATATAACTATTTTCGCAAAATTTGAAATACTTCATAATCATCAATCTCAAAAGTAATTTTTGTATTATCGGAACTCAACAAAGCGTGTTCATATGAAGTTTTTTTGCAAGAATTACCACCCTTTGATGTTGGATCGAATAATAATAAATCATTTCCACCTCCTGCTCCAAATACTGGTCCATATAAACTATTGCAATAGATACTAAATTTTTGTTTGAATTTACTTATAAATCCATCGGATCTATTCGAGTTAAATTGAAATAAAAAGCTATTTTGTGTCACATGCCACGTTCCCCTATCTGAAGACCAATTCAATGGATTATATCCACCAATTATTTTTTCTGAATCTTTAACCTTAATCGCAGTTACTGTTGAATACACGTTATCACAAAGTCGATGAAAATCAGCTGCAGTTAATCCATCTCGACTGCCCCGTAACAATAGCTTTAAATCAAACGGTTGATCTAAATTCGTATCTTGCGACTTTATCCATTCATTTATTTTATTGATTTGGTTTCGGGTAAGTATTGTGGAATTAGCTTTGTTATTATTTGAATTTCGAATAGGATTTTCGTTAGCTTGAAGATCTTCGCTTCCTGGAACCAAATAATGATGCATTAAATCCTTGTATAGCTTTGCTGATAAGAGTTCCGAATATGGCATTACTTTATTGTAAAAGTCGATAGAATTTATGTGGAAGAAACGGATCAATGGTAAACATTGATTAAGCGCAAATTTCAATTGTTTCCATTCGTTTTGTGTCCATTTCTCCACGGGACCCGTAAAATTAAAATTCTCAGAATTGAAAGGTTGAGCAGTTCCCCATTCAAGAACCTTTTCCCAAATATCGATTTCTTGAAGATTTAAATCATCCCGTTTGAGCAAAGAGACTAATGCGTTTTCTTGAAGTTTAGCAAAATCATTCGATTGAAAAATAGCGGCAGGATTTTGACATGCAATATCTGTGCAAAATTTGTGAAGTTTCGTAAAAGAGTCGTGTTCGAATACGACTTGATTGATCAAGGAAAAATTTTCAGTCATTGACTCGATATGATGCTCCAAAAGAAAGTTTTGAATGTATTCAAGCAATTCGTCAAGAACTAACTCATCCGCAGCAATCAATAAGTCTAAAAGTGCCGACACTCCATGTTCATTCAAGTGGATTTTGCCACAATACATATATCTAACACATCATAAAATAAATTTTATTTACTTGGATACATGTATCAATAACAAGTCATAATTTACTTATCTACCTTAATAAGATTTCAAAAACACGCGGCGAAATATTTGGTTTCTTAAAAGTAATCATTTTATTTTGTTCTCGTTTCACCCATGTGTCAGAAAGTGCGATGGCAAAATATTGTGATTGCGCCATTAAAATAGACGAATGTGCAGTAAAGGTCTGTAAATTTTTTCCATCACCAACAATTATCGAAATATCACAAAAATTCCCTTGTTCGTAAAATTTAGCCAATTTGTTTGAATGTGAACTTAATAAGTCGCCCGTCATTTTATCTAATTTTTTAATTTATTTGCGTGAGTTTTCAGTATCAGTATGATACTGTATATTATTTATATTCATAGAACATTATTATTGTGCAACCATATCGATATGGATTCTGCCTAATTTGGATAGTTAATTTAAATTAGCTTTTATCTTCGGCCAATTTTTGTAGAACCGTTATTTAATTTAATTCGAGTATTTATTGTTATCTAACTCCGAACTATAACTGACGAAATTTATTTCGATACCGATTTTTTTATAAACCGATGCAAACATACTGTGGATCGAATTTAATATAATTACGCGGTAACTGCCGATTATAAATTTCGGCACTGGCCCGGAAAGATCACCGTAGACTTCCCGTTTATGTAATAGAAATTCCCTTTTTGATTAGAACCACCCGTTTGATAACGATAAATGGCTACGAAATTGTAGTGTAGAATTCTCACGTTTATTTTTATCAATCATTTCTAAAAAATGTCATTTCGTCTTCCATATCTACTTCCAATCGTAACACTTATTCACAGTCCAACGTGTGCGACATCCATAAAAGCACTTAACATTCTGAAATCAGCAAAAACTGCAAGCCTGGATGCATTTGATATCGACATAATCGATTGCACACAACAAGAAGTGACCAAAGATCAACTTGTCACAATAGCCGAATATCTTGGAAATGATTTCAAACAAGTTTTGAAAAAATCGAGTGAAGATATAAACAGTACGGTTGTTCAGGAGAAAAATACTCAAAATCGATCCCATGAAAAAATCGGCGAGGAATTCATGCCAAAAACGGTAGACCAATTTGTAAATCTGGTTAAAGGGAATCCATGGAGTTTGCGTCCTCCTATTTTGGTAGATTGGAATAAAGGACATGCCATGGCTGTTAGACAGCCAGAGAAAATCAATGATTTTCTAATTGATTTAGGATATATGAGAAAGTAAATTATTTGATATTTGATGAGTACAAGCGGGAAAATAATATTCGAAATAAATGTTAAAAGTGACATGTGGCATCGAGAATATCGAAATTTTGTTTTCTAGTTTTTTCATCAATTTTAATATTCACAAAAATAAGAACTACATGTATTTTATTCTTTTACAATATTCAATTACAGTTTACACTCTTTTCAGAATATTTTCAACCAAATTTCTTAAAATTTCCGGTTCAATAGTTTCCCATTTCTCTACAAGTGTATCCATCAATTCTTCCAAATTTTTGGGGTGATTTGGACATTTACAAATTCATCTTTCTAAAACATCCCACAAATGCTCAATTGAATTTAGATCAGGGTTCTGTGCAGGCCATGGAAGTGAAGTTATTGAATTTTTCTCTTTCCATTGACTAGCTGGACCAAACCTGTGAACGTGAGCATTATCATCTTGAAAAGGACGAACAGAACTACCTAACAATCATTTAGAAATGACAGAAGTTCCTGCTCCATTATTTCTATATACTTTGGTCTAAGTGCATTTTGAGTAAAACATCCCCATGCCATTACTCCCTGATTACCCGATTTCATAGTAGGAAGAAGACATTCAACATCGTATTTTTCATGTGATCGGTGACAAATCCATGCTGGAATCATTTCAGAATATTTAAACTACTAATTCCCATTCATAAATCCAATCTTTTCTTTCTAAACACCATTTTAATCGTTTTTGACAGTTTTCCTCGAATATATAAGGTTTTTTCTCCCAGCAAGACAAAAAATCCAGATTCATGAAGAACACGTTATATAATTCTTTTACTAACAGTTACAGTCATAGCAGTATTGAATTTTTCAGTAATTTCGGCAACTACTTGTTGTCGATCTTCTTTAACAATATTGATTAATCTTCGAGTGGCTCTATCATCTAATTTGGTGGTCTACCGCTTTGGGGGGGCAACTGTAGTGTGGTCAAGTCTTTGTATTTATTAATAGCATATGAATAGTAGATTTGGGTCGCCTAGAGTATCTCCAATTTTGTTTTTCGGATAAACCATACTTCCAAGCTCAGCACGCTCAAGATCTGTAAGTTCGTAATTTTTATGGGTATTTGTTGCGTTTGACATTAATTTTTTTTATTTTGTTTGAAAGCTTGAGATTTTAGCATTCTAATGTACTATTGGACGTTGTAATTGAACCTTTCCTTGTTGTACAAAAATCGATGATTCTGACAAGTTGTAGAGGATAGATTTGACGCCTGGTGGAAGGTTCACATGGACGGTTTGAGTTTGAGCAGTAACGTCAGAAAGGGCGCCATTAATTTCGACCACTAACTCAGCATGCTCTGCGTATATCGGCGTAGCAAGCCCACTTGAATTCCAATTAGCAGTTGGGCTATCTTTCTCGTTATGTCGAGAAATAAAATTTTTACGGCCTCAGTAAATTCTTTGGTGCGTCGTTTTGATGTTTTCTTAAATTGATCGTTGTTAATTAAGATTACGATTAAAAAGACGAGCTCGAGTACGAGACCAGCTAACTTAGAAAATGTGAAAATAAGAATTAAACTCAGCACGGCCAATGTGATGTAGATACACAGAAACAGGTTTAAGGTTTTTTCGCTTGATAACGGAAACTTGCGAATAATTACATTGATTTAAGTCGTGAGGCGAACTCGTCGCGAGAGAGAAACCCACCAATCTGCGTCAAACGAATAGCCAGGTTGAAATTCCTGAGCTTGATTTTCTTTGAGATAGATTATGATGTTTTCATTGCGAAATTAAGCGAGAATGAGCAGTTTGGAAATGAGATGAGAATTGTGAATTTATGGATGATGGACCGCTTGTTATATTCTTAGGCAAACAAAACAACCGTATCCGTTAAATAATTCTCCATGAAATTGGTGTTTGTTACATTCAATGAAATTAGTGTTTGTTATTATGAGGCACATGGGGCAGAATACATGATCCTATATACATGTATTCACAACTTCTTTAAGCTCGCATATTTGATTCCCTGAGTGCGATTATATGAAGGTACAATTATAATACATTATTTTTAAGAATTTTAAAATTTCTAAATCAGAAAAGGAAATCGGATGGAAAATTCGGGCAAGAATTTCACGAATTACATGTGCATACAGTGTGATTCAAAATTATTTGGAAAAATAAATTTATTAAATTCCGCAATCACACATTTATTTGAAAGATAAAAACATGTATTTGCTAATAAAAAAAATTAATAATCAATAGTATCACCTTTACTCTCTATTACTAGCATACATCTTCGTTTCATCGATTTTACTAACTCTCTAATGTATCATATGGAATTAAATTCCATTCCTCCTTCATAAATGATTCTAATTGGTCCAAATTTTTTGGTTTTCTTTTTTCTACGTTTCTTTTGACTATATTCCATAGGTTTTCGATTGAATTTAAACCCGGGCTACAAGATGGCCAATCAATAACTTCGGGGACATTCGATTCGAGGTAAGACTTTGCAAGATGGCTCGTATGTTTTGAATCGTTATCCTGTTGAAACCTCCATTTTTCTTCCCAGAAGAGCATTAATATTATTTTTTAAAATATTTACATAAAATTCGGCATTCATTGTTCTTCTAAAATAAAATAAATCAACTTTACCCGCTTTACAAAACCCACCCCACGCAAAGATTCTTCTCCTATCTTTAGGAATTCGACGAACCGGTCTTGGATCCTTATGCCATTGACAAATTGTGTTACGGAAGAGTTGGAACGCAGTTTCATCTGTAAAAAAAGGTTTGTTCCAATTGTCGTTCATGTGTTTTTTGGCCCACGCCACCCGTTTCTCTTTATGTTGCAAGGTAAGCATTGGCAAAGCTTTTGGAACATCATTTTTATAGTCGTGATCCCACAAATGTCTTAAAGCAGTCTGTTGAGATACTGTTCCACCTAATTCTGCCACCAAACTTCTTGTTTGATATAGAAGGATTTTTTTGGATTTGCCGGTTGGTATTTTTGTTGCTGTATGTATTTTTTGGCAGAACGTATGCCCCGGTTCCAATAAGATAAGATCATTTGTCGTTGGTCACGGAAGGTGGTAGCAGCCATTTCAATTTAGAGACTCAAAGAGAAGAATTAAAGGATTGGGAAGTTTACTGGATATCTATTCTCCTATTCGTCTATTTTTTGTAGTACATTTTATTCTAATTTTGGTTATTTCATGTGCGACGATTATGACAATCATTTTTTTGTATACATGTGCATATAACATGTATTACATGTATATCGATATGAAAATAAAATATCGTCGTACCAGATAAGATAAAAATTAAATCTTTAACTAAAAACAGAAATCAAACAATAATATTCATTCTTTATAAATTCGCACATTTGTATTTCAGTGGCTTCGAGAATTACAAACGGGAATGGAATTGATAATCCTTTCTGGTGCGACGATGGTGAATATTCTTTATTTCAATATAACTGGGTACGTGAATTGCATGTATGATGTCAAAACACATAAGAATTTAATTATGAATAAAAAACAGAAATCAAATAAAACATAATAATACGGCAGACTTGTCTTTTTATCATCGCTTCCTGTCTTATAAAAATAATATTTATCTAATTGTTAGTATATGGACATCAGTATTTGATCGCATTCTTCTACAAATGAATAAAACAATAGTCTAGATTTAAATTTTGTTTTCCTTGTAATTTCTTAAGCTCAGCTTGAAATCACCATCCTTTTGCATCCACATAGATCAAAGCTATTAATGTTGTCATATCATTAATACTTTCAACTATACATATGAAAAACACACTTGTTCTTTTAAACTACCGAATTAGGTATATTATTTAGAAAATTCGATATGACAAAAAAGGGGTGGTGATCGGAACCGCACGAAAATATCTCATAATAAGTAATGAGTATTAAAGTCAACGTTTATTATATCAATAAAAATTGAAGATTAATAATACAATGACGGCTCCTGATCAAATATTACAATGTCTAGTTGAAGAAGAAACTCAATCACAGCGAACGATCAATAAAGTTCCAATTGTTGGATTTTTTGCAAGCATTGGAAACAATGTAAATCAAATGGTAGGCAGCGGAATATTTTCAACACCGGGTATCATATGGCGATGGACTGGTTCACCAACAGCGACCCTTTTGTTGTTCTTTGCTGGAGCCGTTATTTCAATGTGCGGGTCTTTAATATATGCTGAAGAAAGTATTAATTTTTTTTACGTTTTTGATAAATACGTTTCTCTTTCTTGAATATTAATCAATCGATTTTTTTAATTATCAGTTAGGAATTATGATTCCAGAAATGGGTGGAGAGAAGGCATACTTGGCAAAAGCCTTCCCGGAACCGCATCGTTTGTTCAGCTATTTATTTAGTGTCGTGATGATTACAATAATTCGTCCAGGCACTATCGTGGCTGTGTCCAATATAGTTGCACAGTACGCTTTATTTGCATTTCTTGGATTTGATAGAACGAATGATGCTGATTATCATCCAGCTTATTTGGATAATGGGAATTTTTGGTATGAACGTTTTTAAATGATTGTGATTCTTGAAAAACATCATCTAATATAAAATTATATAATATCTGAAAGGAGACTTCGTGGGATATCACTAGTTGCCTTGTTAATAGCAAGTGGCTATCATTGTTACTCGAATGTGGTTGCAAACCGTATAAACCAAACGTTCTCAATAATAAAGATGCTGATATTAACGGTCATTGCACTAATGGGACTTATTGTACTCATGAACGACGCCTCTAATTTGAGGGTCGCATTGAATTTGAGGGACGCATTTAATACTCAACGTGAAGACCACCAGCACCCAGTCTCATCATCAGATTACGGAGCTGCTCTTTTAATGGTAATTGATTTTTTTGATAGTTTCATGAGTTCACATGATAGAGTGTATTGATTAATGCATATTTTTATCATTTTAGACTTTATTTTGTTACGAGGGCTGGAACAATATTAATTGTGAGTAAAAATTCTTTTGCATTTTTACTGAAATAGAATGTATACCGACCTAGTATTGTTTATTTTCAAAATAGATCAATTGGACGAGCTTCGAGATGTTAAGAAAAATCTCGTTCGAACAGGTATCGTCAGTGTTGGTGCAGTTGGTGCATTATGTATGTATCGAGTCATTTTATATTATTGTTTATCTCATACATGTGAAGCTCGCTTGTTTCATAAAAGTTCACTTTTACCGTTACTTCAATTAGTCCTTTTAGTGTTAATATCCTATATAAGCGTCGTCCCAGACTCATATATACTTAATCAAAATAACACTTTATCGGGCGCAAATGACACTTTATCGGGCGCAAATAACACTTCGCCCGATGATCCAAACGAAGTAATTGTCACATTATTTGTCACGTTCTTCAAAAATTTTACCACCAGCCAAAATGTAGCAATTCCACAACTCATCCAAGAAAGTGACTCGATTGCAAGAGCTTTCTCAGTATTCGTGGTGATCTCTTCATTTGGTGCTATGGCTGCGTTGATGTGGTCTGGTGCTAGAATTATTGTTGCGTCTGCACAATCGGAATATATTCCCCGATTTTCGAATTTTCTTAAGCGACGGCATGAAGACCGAGCAACCTATACGAATGCTTTTGGTAGGTTCATTTTTGTTATCTTAATGTTTTTTTAATAATTTGGCAACCATCAAATTAATGTGGAATATTTAATTTCATCAAAATAGTTGCACAAATGATTTGGTGTGCGCTTATTACTATTCTGGCGCCAACTACAGATCCCTTTTCATTTTTAGTCTCGTTGTCGCAATATACAACTTCGATCGTGTATGGCGCAGCAGCAATTGGTCTATTGGTAAAAGAATCTTTTATCTTTTTAAATTTTATTGCATAAAAGTATCTATAAAATAATCATATCATTGTTCAATCAATAAAGCATCTGCGATACACGGCACCGAATCTACCACGACCAACACCAGTCCCAAAACTAATAGTCTACATCTTCCTTCTCGTAATCGCACTTATTCTAATCCTACCATTCACCAAAGATTTGCAACAATTACCCTTCGTTATTTCTTTATGTGTAATTGGTTTAGGGGTTACTGCGTGGTACTGGAAATATTACGCGTTGAATCCAAGTCTTGTGCCTCAAAGCGATAGTGATACAATTTCAGGAATGTCTCTTGTATGTTCATCAGTGTAGAGAAATAAGATAGCGTAACGAAATGAAGATGTATTCATTTGTATAAAATAATTTAAATATTATATTTAATATTATATAAATTAATTTCTTAAACTATTCATATACAGTATTGAATTAAAATAAAAAAGGAGTGCTGAAAATTTTTCATTTAACTTCTGGACTGAAGAAATCATTTTTTAACGTACCTTTTCCTAGCATCAAAAATGAACAAACACGTAAGGGCTTGAACTATTTATAGCTCTTTGCGAGGAAAAATTTGAATACCATATTTAAAAGTCGGTATGAAGTTTTATCGATTATCCTGTCTAACCTGATATCACCTAAAATTTAATGACGAAGTTCACACCTATACCAAATAATCAGAATTTTTCACTTTATGACAATGGGAAACGGCAAATTCAACTAGATTAACAACAAATGATTTCTAATAATTGATTTTTTCATTTAGCGAACTTTCGAATGGCGAGTTTAAAATATTAGAATTTGCGGTACCTTATTGGAAATATAAATTCAAACTTCTTTTTTCGTGACAACCGTGATGGTTTGAAATTATGAACCTCCGTGAGCTTTGTAGAACTTGAAAAAGAGACTGGTAAAACAAAATTGAAAATTTTTGGCGACTATAATACTGGCAATTTCTTTCAACGTACTGAATGACATAACCAGCAACTAATCCCGGAATGAATTGAAGCTTCGCCTCAGAAGAGACTAACTACTTGGGAGGAACCGAACCTTCACTCCCAAAGGAGCGTCCGTACAGGATCCGGTTTTGGAAAGTACGAATCTCCAACCTAATATATTGATATATGTTAATTTCTTAATACATGTATATGCAGAAACTAATTCATATTATTACGTGTGGGATTTGTTAATGGGTAACTATGGATATTTTATTATAGGGTCTGTTTAATCGTAATAATTAATTCCCGTGCCGATTTCTACGGATATCGTTGGATAATAATGAATGTGGGGACGGAAGGAGTAAATAGCTTGAATTGCATCTCTACGCAGTTTCACTATCTAACTCCAATGGTGCTTTTTCTAGCTAAAAGCCTTAAACACTTGATTCAATTATCAACTTATGATAATATTTTGAGCGTTATTTCTATGAAATGGCAACATTAATATTTATATTAAGCAAGTGCATTGATTTATAAAAAATAAAGATATATCAAACTTTATAAGAATTAAAATAAGTGAATATGGAGAAATTAAGGTTTGAAGTGCAACAATTTTATTAAATGTATTATAGATTATAGATTGGTTATTTTTTAATCAAATTTTATTAGTATTTTATTTTCTTTATGAAATAATCAAACAATATAAAATGACTATCGGGATATGTCCCAAATCATTCTCCCAGCACTAATCCTTCTGGTCACACCCATATTCTAATTTAGACGGGGCAATTTTGATTTGAGGCGCTATACGTAAATCGCGGTGTATAGTATCCCCCTTGTAAAAAATCTAAAGAATTTAAACCTCAATTTAACTAAAGCTTTTAAGAAATTACACTGTGAATTTAAATTTATTTATTTGTGAAACAAATATTTTTTGCTCTATTAGAAGGTCTTCTACTCTCAAAAATAATAAAATAAAAAAAATAAAAATATAGCTTATTTATAGTAGAGATCTTCTACTCTCAAAACAATATCAAAAATCAAAATCAACTTTATATAATCAAAGAAATAAAACTGAGTAAGAGAAAGGGTCCACTGAGCCAGGATTGGCTATTTGTCTCCAAGTTGGTAAAATAGTTGCAGAAACATTAGCTCTTTATCTTTGTAAACCATCTGAAGCCCAAGTAATTCAAGAATATTTAAAAAAACAGGTTATAATTATTCTCCTTTCTACCTAATGAAAAAGACTTACTAGTATAATAGAAAAGGAATCTTATAAAAAGATTACTATTATTATGATAATAAGCTTTTTAATTATATTTTCCAAACAATTCAATTCAAAACTATTTATTTCAAGCTGGGATAATAGATCCTTTTATACATTTTTTAAATACATAAATTATTATAGTATTACTAGTTAATATTATCTAAATATACATGTTATTATAAAGAATTATAATCTATTAATATTGAAAATGTCAATATTCAAATGTTGATATTATAAATATTGATGTTTAAAATATGAATATTATAAATATTGATATTATATTAGTATTCCAAATATTGATATCTAAAATATTGATATTTCATTATTTTATCAAAAATTAAAAAGGATCTTTAAATATATTATTCTAATAAGTATATAAAAAATATATGACATGTAAATTGAAAATAAAAATCTCAAATTAAGAAAATAAGATATAATATCTAAAATAAAAATATAATTATAAGAAATAAATATAATAAAGAAAATATATATAATTATATATTAATTAATAATTAAAGTATAACTAATTAATGATTAAAGATGATGCAAAATTAATTTAATTTTGACTAAATTTTAATTCTGATCTAAATTTCAATTAATTAAAATAAAAATATAATTATAATTTTTTATAAAAAACTTTTTTTAAATATCTGACTAGTAATTTAATAGAACTTATTTTAAAGAATAATATTATTAGTTAGTTTTTTTAGATTCTATCTTTATAAAGCTCTTAAAAGTTATATAATTTTATTGTTAAGTTAAGATTTTTCATATTATAATATAAATTATAAAAATATTACATATCATAAACTCTTAAATTTAAGCAATTTCCTATATCATTATTTTTTGATTAATTTTTTAAGAAAGTTACTTAAATTTGAGAGTCCTTATATGTAATATTAAATTATGCATTGCAATATTATGCAGATCAAATTGATCAATATGAAAAATTTCAAATATTCCTGTTCTTCCAAATTTAAACTTTCATACTACAAATTTTGTATTAATCTAATATATAATAGTTTTTAATAAAGAAGTTGTTTATTTAACTTTTTTAAGATTTTTGAACTTGAAAAGGGGAGAATTGCTTATTCTTGAGAGTTACTTAAATTTTAAGAGTTTATAATACTAATTATAATACATATGACTAATCAAGATTTTTACAAATTTTTTTGTGAAATAAAATATTATATATATATTAATTTATTAATTATAAAGATCTTGTATTATTTCAGAATTTGAAAATAGTATTAATAGTTAATCTTCAAGAATTTTGTTGATATATATATATATATATATTGCAGTTAAAAGTCTTTAATTATCTGATTTAAGATTACAGATTATTATTTTTTAAAATAAGAATATATTAAAACTATTAAGTATAAATAAATAAAATTTTTTTCATATAACTCTTGACTTTAACTATTTAAAAATAAAAAATTTTCTTTTATAAATTCAAAAGATATAAACTTATTGAATTTAAATAAGAAAAGATTATAAATCTCTGAAAAGATGATAATAGTAAACAAAATATTAAAGAAAGTCTTGGATATTCTAAAATCATTATTCATGATATTAAATAAAATATAAAAATTCAGGAAATATCACAGATACTTCATATTTAAAAAGAACATCAAAACTTACAGAAAGAGAAATTAGAAGTCTTTTAAAATTAATTAAGAAAGATTAATAATAATTACTAGAGGAAAAATTTAGTAAGTCTTTATCAATTTCAGAATTTTCTAGTATTATAAAGTATACTTTATATATTGAGAGATTTTATGAATGAGAAAATAATTTATTTCTGAATAAATTGTAAAAAAGACTAGAATAGTATTATAAAAGAAGAAATTGAAATGATAGGTGAAATTTTATTACTTGAAGTGATGAATCTTGCTTTATATTATTTCAAAATGATGAATATCATTGGATTTGGTATAAATTACATAAAAAATATGATGTGAGTTGCTTAATTCCAACTGTAAAATCTGGAAATCAAGGAGTTATAGTATGAGAATATTTTGTGAAAGATAAAATTGGTCCTTTAATTCATGTTTCAGATAGAATAACAGGTTCTATATATATAGACATATTAAAAAATACTTTTTACTCTTTTATAATAGTTTAGAAAACAATTCACAATATATTTTTCAAGATAGTAATGCCTAATACATAGGACAAGAATGGTCAATCAATAAAAAGAGAATAACTTGGTATTAAGTCTTTCATGATCTGCACAGAATCCATATCTTAATCTAATTGAACATTTGTGGGATGTTTTGGGAAGAAGGGTTAGGGAACATAAACCTCATCCAAAAAATATTGTGGAATTAATGGTAGTTTTGGAGGAGGCGTGGAATAAAATTGAGCATGAAATTTTAACAAATTTAGTTGAAAGTTTGCCAAGGAGGGTTCAAGCAGTATTAGATAGCCATGGAAATCCAACTAGATATTAATAAAATTATGTTTTTCTGAATAAAATGATATAAATTTTTTATAATGTTTATTTATAAATTGTCAAGAAATTAATTGTTGAAGTTTGTGCATTTTTATCCGGTTTTAAAGTGGTCGGACACTTTTGACCGGGGAGTGTACATTTATCATTAAATGTCGAATTAATAATTAAATCGATGTTTTTAATATATGACAACGTCCAGTTGTGACTTTTGATGTCGCTTCGAAAATTCTTACAAAAATTCTAGGAATGTAATTGTCAGTAGGAATTCTTGCAGACATTCGAATTGTACGTTATCTCTTAAACCTTCAAATTCATATCAAAATTCATATTTTGCGCTATACGTAATGATTTTACTTTACTTTATTTTTCCTACAATTACAATTACATGTATTAAAATAAACAAAGCAAATAACTTGCTACTAAAATTTTTACGACCTCTACTTATAAAATTTATCTACGTATAATCTTTTATTGTCATGAATTTTTTTTATATGTATCGAGTAAAAATTCTTTTTTAATTCTTCTACAGTCAATGAAATCTTATACAAGGATTAAAAATTAAGGTATAATTTTGGAATCTCTTGAAATAAGTAAAAACGAATCTTCAATATTACGTAAATATAATATTTTTATTTTTACATTATAATTAAATTTTATTATTTTTTTAATACTTTTATATCAAGGTAACTTTCGAGCTTAGTTCTTATAGTAACATTTGTAGAATAAACAGTAGTGTTCTATTGAATCTTATTCCATTTCAACCTCCATATCATTAAAGCATACCAAAATCCGCAAATAAATTAGCTAATCACAAAAATGCTCCAACAATCGTCGCCAATCCAATCGCAATATTCCTCAAAATCGCAAAGTCATCATTTCTCTCAGCATTCGAAAACAAGGTGCCTACGTTATTCTGAGTAGGAGTAGTAGTAGGTCGACTTCCACCAGCTGTAACGACTTGTGTTGCTTTATTTCTACAAAATATTATAAAGTCAGAACAAAGATAGTATCATATTATTTGTGACTGAAAATCGTTATGATAATTATTTTGCTTTGAAATCTCACGCAATGCAGGGGTAAACAAAAAATATCTTACGGTGTTTCCGTAGTGACGATCGGAGTTACCGTTGTGCTATAAAAATACGTAATTATAATTAATAATTAAGTCAACTGTAAAACACGAAACATAAAAGTCCTACATTAAACTGGTATGTGATCCTTCGATAGTGGATAGTACAACAGTCTTGAATGTTGTCGTCGTTTGTGGTTCTTGTTGAGAATTTCCTGCGTTACCGGAATTATTATTTGAAGAATTATCATTATTGTTGCTGTTGTTGCTGTTGTTGTTGCTGTTGCTGTTACTGCTACTGCTACTGCTACTGCTACTGCTACTGCTACTGTTGCTGTTGTTGCTGCTGCTGCTGTTGTTGTTGTTGTTGTTGTTGTTGTTGTTGTTGTTGTTATTATCTGTGGAACTAGTATTACCATTATTGCTTGCGTTACTGTTGACATTATTGTTGTTGTCGCTTGTACTTGCAGCAGTAGATGTGGACGTTGAAGAGGGTGAATTATTTTTTGATGTAGAAATTAGAATAACCGTCGGCGAAGCTGGGGGGCTTGCTGAAGATTTAGAAGCGACAGGAACTATAGGGACAGTAGTACTAGTTGATGCACTTTTAATTAAAAAATTAAAACATAAATTAATAAATTAAATAATTGCAAGTGAAATTTCATAAATTAATAAATGAAATTCAAACATTTTGCTACTGGATGCATTAGTTGCAGAATTCGCTCTCATAACTGTGGTCGAGAATACGAGACATGATATGAATATGAACTGAGAAATTATTTTCATTGGAACTTGAAAAATTTTTGTCAAAAATGTATTTCGATTTGAATGATTTTTGCGGTAATGAAAGCAAGCTACATAAAAATCAAATCTACGAAAAAGACGACGTCGCAAAGCCATAATCCTTTTATAGAGTTTGCTCATAATTAATTTTTGTTTACCGTTACCGAAGTTAACTACATGTCACAACACAAAAAAATGTAACGGTAATTCTGTGTATAAATTTTCTTGTTGCCAAAAAAGGGAACATCAAATCGAATTTTCTATGCATATACGTGGATTGTGCAACGTTATAGACATGCACTTATTCCATTCGCATTAGCTCTTGGCATTCGATAAAGACAATGGTTATCTTGACATGTGCCGACTTGGTAAATTCTAATTATTTCCTTAGACTTAGAAATGAAATGGTGCGTCGATTATCTTTTTAAAGTAACATTTTGACATTTATAAAGGATGTCAACCAATTTACAAAACCAAAGAATAAGATTCGATAAATAAATATTAAAAAAGGATGAAATAATAAATGACATTATCTTTTTACTTAAGAGACATGCGTAATGCTATCGCTAATGTCAAAAAGTATGCGGACAACATCAATGGTCAAAAAATTTAGCGTGATTGTGCATGTATATATTGATTAGTCTTGAGCTATGCATGTTGCTGTATGTACATGTATGTCGTATTGGTCTGTATAACAATGATTTTTTCCTTGACAATACATGTACATGTATATCGATATGATTAGTAATCTTGACTGGGTGCTATAAACGTTACGACATCACGAAAGCGCTCCAGATACATGTACAGTAGGGAGCAAAGTATCCGAACGCTCCTAGTTTGGGACAGGAACAAGTAAAACGCTTTGGAATTTCTTACATATAGTGTATAACAAGCCATGATCACCTGTAAAATTTCGGCCCGATCGGATGTCTCCAGAAAATTTTTCAAACACCGACGTTTTTACCTATATATTTCTCGCAATTTCGACTGTAAGAATTCAGAAATTCATATCTCGACACTTTTCTAACCAAATTTTGTAATTCTTGTTTTATTTAATTTCTCTGCACCATTAAATTGTATTTACATAATTTTAGAAAAGATTACTATATAATTGCTACTATAAAATGTGAATAATCATATGATAAGATGATATTGATAAATGGCATGCATGTTTGTTGCCAAGTACGATAACGATTTTCTTTCAATTCGGCTATACACCTCAAGAAAAATGCAGATATTGATTTAGGAAACAAAACAAAAAAAAGATTACAAGAAACATGTGGGGATATTGATTTTTGAAGTTTATGTCGAAATATTTGACCTGCGGCTTTTCTATGTTTTAATATGCTTTTACAGTATATGTTTTTAGAGGCAAACATTGGATGTTTGGAAATTTTTCTGGAGATGTCCGATTGGGCCGAAATTTTACAGGTGATTGATTATGGTTTGTTATATACTATATGTAAGAAAATTCCAAAGCGTTTTACTTGTTCCTGTCCCAAACTAGGAGCGTTCGGATACTTTTGCTCCATACTGTAATTGAAAAAACAATAGTGTATACAGTGATGACATATTGCAAGTCTACATGTTCTTGTATTACATTACATAGATGCAAAACTTCGGACCTGGTGGCAAATAGTGAAGAAAAATCTTTTAAAAATGTAAATATCTCTGCATGCAATGAACCAAATTAAATGCTTTTGGTATCATTAGTAAGTGTAGCCAAGGCATAGGTCATTCGGAATTGAAATTAAATTTGACGTGAAGATACGATGTGTATGAGTCAACTTTCCGTGTAATATATCGTTACGCATTTAGATTCGTTATAAAGACTAGGTAATTAATTGCATGTGATTGAATTTTCATGGACGAAAAAGCATGATAACATGAAAGTATATATAATCTGTTAAAGTAATGGTCAAAATGAAAACTACTTTTGGTTCGTTGTAATTATTGATCGCGTAAAATTTGGTAAATTTAATATCTAAATCACTCGTTTTCTTGAAAAGCCACTCGGCATATTCCATTCTCTTCGTGCGATATATTAACATTGAAATCTGTTTCTTATCAATTAAGAAAAATAATGCAATTTTGCCTTCATATAGAACAAATTCCTATTGACATGACTTTAGTGTTTCTCGATCAATTTTTAACAATAAAAATGAAAGTGGTGAAATCAGAGTAAATTATAAAACGAGCATTCGTTGGTTGGTTATCCAGGTCACACCACGTGGAGGTCAATGCTCATGTGACCCGTGTACCACACTCCGGTGGATTTTGGTATTAAGGAATAAAAAAGTAAAAACCAGAAAGGCCGTGAATCCATCATTCGAATAAAAAGTAATACACAAGAAAACAATCCAAGCTGCCCCAGCCATACGCAACTCAGTGTCTTGACCAATCTGACGTCAAGTCCATTTCCGAATAACTGAGGGTATTAATAAAACCAAATAATATAATAAACACGAAATTACAAGTCAAATAGGGATCCACTTCCAACCACTAAGGTGCTACACGCTACCTTTGGCCATTTCCTGCCAACGTGGAGGCTTGACGATAGAACTAGCACTCTAATTTTTTCAGCTGCGTGGTTCTGTCAGCGTACTTATTTCAAGCATATACTAGTAACATAGCATCAAGCCTTTTTTTCAGAGTAGGATGATTAAAATAAGAAAAGGTAAACTGTATACATGTCGGAAGATGGCATTAGCGTGCACAGAAGGGCCATATTCAATTATCCGAATAAGCAGTAAGGCAACACTCGCGTAGTCGGACAAGATAACAGTTTCTATCTATAATAACAAAGGTAGTAATAAACGAAGGGAAAAATAAAGAAAGAATAAAAGGATATAATTGAAAAAAAAATGAAAAAGGACTGTTATTTATATAAAAGAAAAGGGATATAGGATGATTGATGATAAACAGATCGACCGATTAATATATTAACGTTAAAAGATGATTATGATGTAACATATAAAAATTATTACATACTACATGCAGATCGATATGTCATAGCGGAGTATTTCGCATGATAGGACGATTTTTGGGCACATTCCTAAAATGTTGTCCTTTCTCACATCGCTATAATTTTTTACTGAAAATCCGAAAGAGCTGACATCACACTAATTCCAAAATACGCTATCTTTTTCATCTCTATTCCCATCATCTATGTATAAACCCAAGTCGCCAGAAATCCATGTCTTTTGAATCACTAAAATCACTAACTCCTTTCGCCCGTTAGCAATCACGCGCTATATGTTTATTGATTGACAAACGAAGACTCTTCTCCCGTGATTTTTAAGGATTTTTTTATTATTAGAAAAATTCTGCTCAACAGAAGGTCATGTGATTTTGTTAATTCTGGAAATTTGGGATAATTAATTGATTGATTGATTGATTAATATGATTTTTAATATAAAGATACAAGATAAAAAAAAATTTTTTAATAATAAAAGAATATAATAGAGATTTGAGTGAGTGTCCATCGTCGATCGCAAATTCAATTTCTAAAGATGGGCTAAAATACCATACTACTAAGTCGTCACCTTGCAAGCCAATAATAATGACGATGATAAAAAAAATTACAGTAATGAAATAAAGTGCTCGATTTAAATGTTATTTGAGCCCTTTCGTTTCAAGTTTTCTCTTTAATTTTCCGCGAACAAGCAGTCCGTTTTCTTTGCGGCGTTTTTCCAAATTCATAGCATTGGAGCAACTAAAATTACTGTCTAACCGATCTATTTGAGATTCCTGAGCTCATTTTTCTTCTTATGAAGCTGTATTTTCTCGTACAAATTTTCGACGTTCCGATCATTATCAAAAATTCAATCACATCCTCTAATTTCCGTATTGATAGGTATCTTCAGATTTAGTGTAGGTAAGACAACGATAAAACTCTATTATTATTATTATACTCTTTTCCCTTCTCCAATTATTCTATTTCCTCTGACTTTCCCCTAATCGAAGTTTGTACTAGTGATGGTGAAGGTGAAAGCAGAACCAAATCATCAGCTGTAGTTGAATCATTCCCGTAAATATGTGTTGACGAAGAATTCTGCATAAAAAAATTGTTGTTTAATCCTTCTGGCGTGGTTGTCCAGAATTCTTCGAGTATGCTGAAATTATTCCTGACGAGGGGAATATTCTGCTTGTCTATATTCAGTTTGATGAGAAGGAGGAAATTCTGCTTGACTATATTCGTGTTGATGGTGGGGGATTTCTTGCTGATTTGAGAAACTTTGATGATGTATTCTGGTAGTGGACGACAATTATGAATTTGTTCGTGTCGTTGCAATTGATGATGAGCATGATTAATGTCTGATGAAGATCATTTGTCATTGATCCAGAAGTCTGGCAGAGTCAGCGAAAACAGCAGGCGATTTTGTAAGAGCTTTTTTCAGTTGCTCTGTTCCTTCGAAATAATGGCTAAGTGAATTATAACACTTGTAAAACCTATGACCTTTATTGCGACCTCCCTTTCTTGGCTGGTTTTTACCGAGACTCAAACATTATTAGTTAACGAGGTGTTACCGCTGACGTTCTTTAAATAGGCGTTTTTTCGTTGGAAGACGACATTTATATTCTTTCAAAATTCTTAAACTATAATTGCGAAAAAAATAACTGGCTTTGCTAATCTACTTCCTAATGCAAGCCAAATAAACGAACGATTCAAGGTTCAAACTTAACATTCAAAAGCAAAAGTCCTAAACGAGTATTTATTGGGTAGATAGTCTATCTCGATAATATCGTGGGAATTCCAACTCATTAATTTTTTCCCTAAGTTCTGATTGGTTCAGATAATAGTTGATATCACATAATATGCAATATTAAAAAAATTAACCGCGACTACATCACACCCGTCTCAACTCGGAGTCTGAATTTATGCACAGATAGTAAACTTACATCTCATCATAATCGAAAACTTGATACAAATCACGCTTTTTCTACTCCCAGCGTATATCATGCGACGAATCTTCAAAAGATCCGTTATCACAAATTTTCTTTCTTCTGGTTCTGCAAGATTTAGACCAGTCGTTATACCATTTTTCTCGGGCCATCTCTTAATCACGACTGGGCAGAGTTTCATAAAGCGCCTCCCAATATGATACGGAGATTTCAGCTCGGTAAAATGTTACATAAGTAGAAATGACACGAAAGGCAAAAATTTCTTGATCCACATAATTCTTAATCACATTCTCATATCCGCAGGCAAGTATTTCACCAGCAATCTGCCATTCTCCAAAACCACTGGCGGGGTAGAGTTTTTATTTTGCAGGTGTTTATCCTGTTTAAAAGATTGTCTGAGTGAACAATAGTTTAGACTTTTCAAGCATCAAAAACATATAGATCTCTGCACCTATTAAAGCAATTTGTCTCTTATTAATCACAAATTTGGGTTCTGCTGTCACAGATTCATTCCTCGCGATTAGTTTGAGGGGTGGTTGAAGTCTGGGTTTGGAATAATGCAAATTTTAAGAAGCATTGAAGTGCATCACACAAACGATCTTTCTCGTGGTTACCCACCTAACTTTAAAGGGCCAAGTATCAAAGTTGACAACATGAAGTACCAGATCGTTTACTAAAGTGTCAGTCGTAGATTCACTCGTGCCTGCATCGAGACCCGAATTCTTGACAACATCGTGCAGTTTGTCAACAAATGTTTTGACGTGGTCATCCAAAATTTCAGTGAAATTTTCAACATTGAAGTTTCGATTGATAAGCAGATCGTGATTGATGTAGGGGAGAAGGTATTGTTCAGGAAAATTTGTAACTAGATAATATTTAAATTATAAGTACTTGATTCACTAAGAGAATTGTTAATATAATATAATTTATACCTTTGATATCGGGTATAACATCGTACTTGTCGGCTGGCTTAAAACTCACTTGCAATACCTCAAGATCTCGTTTTGTGAACCCAGATGCTGAAGGTGCGAGAATTCTGGCCGATGCAGAAGGGGAGTCGTAAGGGTTAGTTTGTCTGGCTCTTTTTTGCAGAGTTAAGAGTGGAAAGACGCTTGGTTGGAGAGTGCGTCGAGAAAATTTCGTAAAGAGACCGAGCAACGAAGACATTTTGAAAAAAAAATTGATGATGAAGTAACTATAATCACAGTTATATAGTTATTTTTACGACCATCGCCTGATTATGATTGATATCCTGATCACGATGTTGATTGTTCCCACATGCAGACGACCTATTTTCGAAATTTATTAAAAATTTTGTTAAAGAATGTATTTATTCTTTTGGTAACATATTACAAGTAAAATTTCTCCCTGGACGTTTTTACTTAGTGGATTTAAGCTGGTTGTCATAATAAAATGTTGAATTATTTGCAATTTTTCCCTTTTTTTTCGTTTGTTTTGAATTTTTATATTACACATGATCTTGCAATTAGATTGGTCCAATTTGTTGATTTTGCAATTTGATTGGTTTATTTACGCTTTAAGGACCTCTGAACCAACCATCCCATCAGTCTAAAGAATCTGATAGAACATTTAACGAACCCTACACTACAGCCAATACTGCCTCTACCCATTGTCGAGAACATCTCGCATGTGTTCAAGAACTAATTCAAGGGCTTCAACCACTGTCTAATTTAGTAATAATTTTTTCCGCAATACCTATCCCGCCTTGTACGTCAAAATAAAAAATCTTGATCTTGGGCCAAATATTCCAAAATCATTTGGAGCCTTTCCCACTGTTGGTATCAATTATAATGCTATCTGTCAATTTCACCGTGATTTGAAGGATCACCGTAATACCCTCTGTGTGGTTTATCCGCTTGGAAAATTCGAAGGCGGAGAATTAACATTTCCCGAACTAAAATTGATCGTCCATGTTAAACAAGGTCAAGCAGTGGCTTTTCGATCAAACCTTCTGGTTCATGGAAATCTCCTGGTCATTGCTGGAGTTCGCCACAGCATCGTTTTTTATATTCACAGTATGGTAATTAAACAAAAACGAAAGTTTGGCTCTCTCTTCGCCGATTATGGGTTGGAATGGAGTAATAATAGCAATGAGGATGAGCCATTACCAAAATATCTTCCACCGACGCTAGGTTCTGGAGATAGTGTAACGAAACTAAAAAATCATAGAAGAATGCATATAGCTATGTGTGATCGTTACATCTAATTTGAGATATTTAGCAATAAGCGGTCTAACATTTATCTCATACTATATTCATATATTCATGCGTTAAAAGATGTAAAGCGCGCAAAGGAAGGATTAATTGCATGGTATAATAAATAGTGCTGATTTTTTTACAAAAATATCATGTAATTTTTCGTAATTTTTCGTGGCGTAGTTCTCAAAAAAGTATATATAATGCTCGATCACGGGTTACATCATGGTTATATGTATTCTATTGGGTAGCGATTATTTTTTTTCTTGGCAAAAGTGATCGGCGTGACAATTTGCCACGCATACATAATTTTTATTTATTCAAACTTTTGAACATATCTATATCTTGTATAAAACAATGGGAAAAACAAAATCTGAACTAGATTTGTTAAAAAAAGAGAATGCCAGACTTGTGACTAGAATCGCAGAATTGGAACAGATCGCGAAAGTAAAAAATGAGCTTGAAGTTAGAATTGTGGAATTAGAATGATCCGCAAAAGAAAACATTGAGCTTAGATCCAGAGTTATGAAATTATGACTTATTTATAGTAGAGATCTTTTACTCACAAAATAATATTAAAAATCAAAAATCAATATAATATTATAATCAAAATCAAAATCAACTTTATATGATCAAAAAAATAAAACCAAGTAAAAGAAAGGGTACTAGTATAATTAAAAAAAATCTTTTAAAAAGATTACTATTATTATGATAATAAGCTTTTTAATTATATTTTCCAAACAATTTTTGGATTAAATTGTTTATCTCAAGTTGAGATAGTAAGTTCTTTTATATATTTTTCAAATATATAAATTATTATAATATTACTAATTAATACTATCTAAAGATATATGTTATTAATATTATAATAAACTATAATTTAAAGTATTAATAGTTTAAATATTAATATTAAAAATATAGATATCTGAAGATATTGAAAGGTATTTGAAATATTAATCTTAAAAGATGTTGAAAGATATTAAAATATATTTGAAATATTAATATTAAAAGATATTTGAAATATTAACATTGAAAAATATTAAAAGATATTTTATCATTTTACCAAAAATTAAAAAGAAAGATTTTCAAATATGCTATTCTAGTAAATACTTGAATTATATATGACAGATAAATTGAAAATATATATCTCAAATAAAAAGAATAGTATATAATATCTAAAAATAGAAATATAATTATAAAGGATAAATATAATAAGAGAAATAAATATATAATTATAGAAAAATAATAATAATTATAAGATAAATTATAAAATTATAGAAAAATAAAATTTTGCATAATCAAAGAAAAATTATGAAATTAAGAAGTTTTATGTTATTATAGTAATATATAATTCTCCTTCAAAAAATTTTTGCTTCTGTAAAATTAATTAATAATTTTTAATATTTTCTTCTTATTTAAATAATATAACTTGGATAGTATAACTTAAATCAATTATTAAATACTTCTTCTTCAGATTGATAAATAAAAATAACTTTTTAAGTAATATTATATAATCTATTTTATATATATTTTCAAGAAAGTCTTCAATATTCTTTTTAAGTTCTGAAATATTCTTTAAATATTTATATAGCTAAGCTGAGAGTAATTATTCAAGTTTATAATATTGAGTCATCATTTTATTATTATTAACTAATAGGTTATTATAAAGTAAAAATATTACTTTTATTAGTCAGTCTTTCTTACAGATGAATTTAATTTCTTTAGGTAAAGAAATAGATGATTCAGATTTTTCTTCAGAAGTGGCTAAACTATTAGAATTTACAAATTTTATTTCTTTTTCAGTTTTTTCATTATTATTAACTTCCAGTTCTTCTTTTAATAAGATAATAATAAATATATTTAACTAGTTAAAGTTTAATTTAGTGATCATTTAACTGATTTATTAGATATTTCAATTGATTTAACTATTATCTGGAATTTCAAGAGAAAAATATTATCAATTTTAATATTTTTAGTAAATCTAGATTGCATAAGTAAATTTAAAAGAAATATATAAACTTCTTGTTCTGTATTATTATAGGTAAGTAGTTTTAAGATCAAAAAAATAATTATTTCAAAAGATTATTGAGTAAGAATCTTTTGATATATTTCTTCAAGAGATTTAATCATTTGAGAGATAATTCAAGTAGATAATTAAGATATGATAAAATAATAAAAGTGAAAAGTATAAAAAAATTTAAAAAGATATAAGATAATAAAGTAAAAGTAATAGATAAAAATGAAAATATGAAAGAATAAAGAAAAAGATAAGAAGAAGAAAAGGAATATTTATATAAATTTTGAATTAATAATTAATAAGATATTAAAAATTTTGGAAAAAAATAGATATAAAAATAAATAAAAATATAATAAAAGATAATTTCAAATATAGAAGTGACAAAAATTAAGAAATAATTCATGTGAGTTACTTAATAATAATTTGTAATTCAAAGTAATCTTGATTATCATAATAATATTTGAGTTATCTTTTATTAATAGAATACTTGAGAATATTTCTATTCTAATCATAAATTTTATAAGAGTTATATTTAGTATAGTTATAAATATAATATCATTCTTTATTTTATATAGATTGAAATTTATCTCTAATTATTAAGTATTATTTTATATTGAATATTAATATTTTATTTTCAATTTTAAAAATTATTTCTTTTTAAATTTTATTATTATATTATTAAGAATATTGTAATTATCATTCTTTTATATTTTATTTTACTTCTAATATTTATTGAGATAACTGATCTATTATATAATATATTTATTATATTAATTTTTCTTCTTTTATAGAATCTTCTTTCAAATGAATAGAAATTTTTAATTTAATTAATAATTTAGCATTTTATTTATAAATTAAGAAAAATAGTTTATATTTTGTTATTGAATTTTGATTAGCTTGATATGTAAGATTATTTTATTAATAGTTATAAACAAGATAAAATATGATATGAATAAGTTTTAATTTTATAACTTATG